CGTGAACAAAAAAAATTGTCGAATTTGGAACGATACCAATCCTCATGAGATCCAAGAGCGTCTAATGCATCCCGAAAAAGTCACAGTTTGGTGTGAATTCAGGGCTGGCGGCGTCATCTGTCCATATTTCTTTGAGACGGCGTTGACCAGGCCATCACTGTCATCCGCGAACATTATAGGTCGATGATTATCAAGTTTTTTTGGATTCGATTGGATGATCTGGACACCAACGACATGTGGTTTAAACAGGACGCCGCTGTGTGCTGTTACGATATTTTTTTTAATTAATTCGTTGCGTCGATTCAAATTCAATTGAATATATTTTCTGTATCACGTGTCACTTATTCATACATTTCTTTTCTGTGTGACAAAAACTCTTCGGCTCGATACTGATTCGAAACGACGTAAATTAGGTAGCGATTTCTGGAGAAAATCGTGAAAATATCTGCCTAATGAAGGTTTTTTTTAATTTTCATTGATCGATTTTCGCAAAAGTGTGGATGTTTGTTGCATTTTTGCGTTATTTGGAAGTGAATTCAACCCTTGATTCAATCGAATTTGGATTAAAATAATAAATGGATTTCAAAACGTCTCCTTTGTGCTATGGATTTCGACACAAAGAGGTAAGCGTTCGACATTTTCTTTTAGAAACATAAACTTTGAAAATACCTTGAATTGTTCATAATTTTAGACGTTTCATTTATCACGGACCACCTTCCATATTTACCAGTTTCTTACACTCGTTGTGTATCCAGAGGGAAGTTTCAGCCTGTTTTACTTCCTGAAGTATTGCGATTACTTAGAGTTTGGTATTGCTACACCTTCACCTGGTGATTATATGCAACGGACTTGGATAGTAGAATCGACAAAAATAAATACCTCGTAGAGGATTTTCTTTTCTTTTGAATCAATCGTTACGGAAGCAATAAACCGATGCCTATATTTTACGTTATACTAGAGACCTTATTCATAGTTAAAAAGAATTGAATGATTGATTTGTTGCCTGTTCACATTCAATTTTTCCAACCGAAGTTCTTGCAGGAATCAGCTAATTACATCGTTAAGGTGAAAAAATAAGAATCAGTGACCTTTAAGTTTTTCTTTATCGTGATTTATAATGTCCATATATCAGGTCACACCCTGGGTATTAGTTTATGATTGAATCTTGTAGTTATCTCTTGTATATCACTTGGCGCCCATTTTGATAAGAAATAATGGCATCAATAGGTCTTTCACAGAACATTTCAGGTGCCCCCTGTGGCACTCCTCGCTGGAGTGGGTCGAGAGCTCGGGATCTTCTACATGCAACGTGCATTAGACGACCTCGAGCGCTGGTATCTCGAATGGCAGATCCGGGTGAACCTGGACAAGACTCAGGCGATAACAATGGGAAGAACGATATCTTCTCCGGCCACAAAAGTGAGGATCTCTGGAAGGGAAATCGACTGGCAAGCGCGGGTAAAGTACCTCGGTCTGGAACCTGGGACCCACATATCATAACCGTGAAGGCAAAGATCGAGGGTCGGATCAAAAGTATATACCCTCTGATCAATTGACGATCCAAACTGAGCCTAAAAAACAAACTCACAATCTACAAAACGTTGTTCAAGCCTGTCATCATGTACGCTTCAGGCGTCTCCATTCTGGAGAGATTGCATAATAAGTTGATACGGATGATTCTGAATGCTCCGTGGTTCGTACGGAACGAAGCCTTCCGCAGAGGTTTGTAGCTGCCTTCCATTCAGCAGTCCATACAGTCGAGGAATCGGTGAGTTTTTGATAGTGCGGAAACTCACAAAAATTCGTTATTTAGGGAAACTATAGACTATGCTGTAGACGACCACTCCCGATATAGAACGCCCCGACACTCTGTCCCCATGTCCNCTCAATGCTTTATAGGTAATTTTACCCAACTAATGTTAAAACTGTGTACTTGAGTTTGTGAATGAATCAATTGAAAGTAATCGTACAAACTTATTTAAATGAACATGTAATAAATGAAGTTACCTCAGTTCATGTATCAGTTTATTATCAGTTTCCACATTTGAAAAATTAATTGGTAACGGAAAGTTATTTAATTATATTTGGTCATTTAGTAAATTACCCGAATTCTTAGATCTATTTAACACGTCCTTCTGCTTGTAAATGGTTTGCATAAGTGGAATTAATCTTTCCATTCAAGAAACTACTTATGTGCTCTTTAGTTCTTTGAGAAAATGTTTTCGCCCTTTGGCCAATATATGAAGTCAACTTATATACCTACTCCTGATCCGACACTGAAATTTTGTCTTTGATGTTATACGTAAATATTTACATACGTTCAAAAAAGCGTTGTCTGGTGTCGAATCAGCAATACTTTGTTTTCGAGCCCTGGTTTTATCTAGTTGTCATCTTGAGTTGACAGCTGCAGACAAAAGTAGACCGTAGTGGAAACTCTCATATTTCTTTTGAAATATGTTTTCCCTTAACCAACTGTCGCCCCTTCCTTGACAAACATAGGAAGGGAAACTTGTGTGAGCCCAGGATTAACGACGTCTTACCTCCTGAAGAGCGAATATTAATACGGGTTTGGACGACAGAAATCGACCTTCTATCGTTCTACATAAAAGTCGATTGAATGAGAAGAACTAACTACTCACGCTAACTCGACCGGCGTTCCCCTACTGGACGATATCTTGGATAAGTAAGATTTGATTTTTCTATTAAAACCCTAGATGATGTCTTTGTAAAGAAAAATATGCACGCTAAATTATATTAATGACAATTACTCCTGTATTACTTGATTCTCAATTTAGAATTGATTGATTTGACTAAGCTGTGAATTTTTGTGAATTCGTAAGTAATGAAAATCTTTCCATTTTCTCAATTTCTTCTTTATACTGCGCCCCCTACCAAATTGCGCCCTAGACCATAGCCTAAGTTGCCCTTATGGGTAGTCCGGGCCTGCTCACGGTGTCAATGTTTCTTAGAAACAAAAAAATATGTCGCTTTCCAGAAGATTTGTCACTGGCGGACGATCACGACGAAATTTTGCAAACCAAATGTGAACAGTACCTATTTTCTGATGCTTCATCACCAAAATTTGAACGAAACAATTATAATATTTTGTCGTGTTAGGCCTTTCTTGAAAATCATTAAAATTCATTCAATGGAATACCTCAATGAGTGATGTATACTTTTTTTACGGTAGCCAAGCGGTTCGGCGCGGGTGCTTTGTTCACTCACTCGAATTGACTGCCGTGTTGGTCGGTGGTTCAAGCCCTAGTCTGAACGATCGATCTTCACTTGCTATCGTCCAACCCGTGTTAGGAATCACACGTTAAAAGGTAAGACCTCGTTAATCTTTAGCTCGCACAAGTTTCGACTTCTGAGGGTGGTCGTTCGTAGGGGTGCGACAGCTGGTTAACGGAAAAACAGATTTTAAACAGATTTTTACACACTTACTCTTTTCTTTCTCTGTATAAGCTGTTCATTTTCTAAGCTGTTGTTGATTCTAGAATGATGAAAGGTTAATTTTACAAATATTCTGATGCCTGATGACTTCGACAATTGCGGAAGTAGCCAAATGTTACACCCATGCTCAATCCTTAAAGAGATAAGATGAAACCAAATGATGTAATCTTGCCAGGATCACCTTGGGCGACCCTGGGAAGCTGGCGCCAAAGAAATATCTGGCGTTGATCAGGAAAAATCTACGCGTAACAGTAGGATTTCTGACTGGCCACTGTTAACTAAGAGAACACCTCGGACCTCTAAAACTTGAAAAAATACAAGTGTCAGAGGAGATTAAATATCTGGGAGTGATCCTAGATTCCAAACTGACCTGGAACCAACACTTGGACAAGATAAAGAGGAAAGCGGAAGTAGCACTGATGCTCGCCAGACGCACCTATGGAAAAACAAGGGGGCTAAAACCAGACATGGTATATTGGCTATACACGATGGTGGTTAAACCCATGATNACCCTCCCTACTCTACAGATACAGATACAAATATTCTGATGCTAAATTTATCACCCTCTAACGGTTGTATGTGAAAACATACGGGCAACCCTTATAAAATATATATATATTCATTTCGTATTCGAAGAGAATTTTGAATTCTCATCTACATCTATCATATTCAGCGTTGCGAACTTTGAAGTAGTTATATCGCCTCTCGCCATAATCCGTTTTTAATATGATCTATCGCATCTATCCGTTTAGGGTATTGGTGTTTCTTCTCTAACTGCTGTTATTCTTGTTAAGGTGGAGGTCTGGTTCCGCTCACTCTCTATTCCTACTCTATCCCGTTTTGTCAGCTTTATCAGGTTTCTAGAGTTGCCTAGTTGAGCAGCTACCTACTGGGAGAGTGGAATGCAACCTGAGGAAGCAGACATTCAATAGCTGAATGTGATCACATTCTACAACCCAAGCTAGAGCACTGCGCACTTAGCAACAACTGACTGGCAAAACGTTTGGTACTTCCCGGTTTTTGCTCTCTTCAATCGTGACTCCGGGTGTGAATGCAGATGTTCTTATTTTGAACTATAAGTATTTTGAGTTGTACTTTTGAGTCGTTGAACAAAGTTGTAAGTTCGATGGGAAATCTCTTATTAAAGAACCCAAAATCATAGTAATGTCTTGTAATACCTCTACGATTCCCACATAGGTATATAGCGGCCAACACGTCACAAACTGATCCGTGTGAGAGGACCATATCTTATGAAGACTCGGTCACTATAGAGACGAGGTATCTTATTATCATGTGGTGTCATTGTGGAATTTCTCATATTTCAAGGTTGAAGATATCTTCTTTTCTATCCATACATGGAATCCCATCATATAAAGGGGTATTTATTTTTTTAAATTATATTTTCACAGGTCAACGTCATAACAACGCCAGTACTGCTTTTTCTTATTTGATATTTTCTCTTCCTCCGAGCTGATGTTGGATACCCAGAGTGTTTATAAAAAATAAAAGCATTTTATGAGAACTAGCTCCTCTTAAATTGCAGATTTACTGCTCAGAAGAAATGCATGAACCTGTACAGGGTTGACGAAGTGAAACTCTCAACTTCTACAATGTATTCTCATAGTCAGTAGATGAGCGGGAGTACTGGCCAAACGTCCACCGGACAGGAAAAACATACAGTGCACTGGTTCCGGAAGGGGTTGAGACTACATGACAATCCATCTTTGAGGGAAGGACTTACTGGAGCCAAAACTTTTCGGTGTGTGTTTGTTCTAGATCCTTGGTTTGCGGGATCTTCAAGTGTTGGTGTCAACAAGTGGAGGTGAGTTGTAGTGACACAAAGTAACAGACATAGTAAAAACTTGCAGTTTACTGCCATTATTCAATAAAAATCTCATAGATCGTTAAAAAACTGTGAAAAGCGTAACCGTCGACTACATTGGTTCTCGATTTTTTCCTGAACTGCAAAATTATCTGCTCTTCCAAACAATCTGACTTCTGATGACATAATAATATGTCTAGTAGATTCATTGGACTTAGCTAATCTAATTTGATTTTCTACAACATAACATTTCATTAGCTCTCCGAAATTACTATATTATCGGAAAAACATTTATATTTTCAGGAAAGTTACTGGAATAAATCCAGAAAGGAATATTGAATGGATAGTGATGATATTAATGAACCGTTCAAAGATTGCACAGATAATGCACATTTAATGTAATAGTAGTTTTTGTAAGATCATTTTTGCTTACAGATTCCTGCTCCAGTGTTTGGAAGATTTAGATCGCAGTTTGAGAAAACTCAACTCACGATTATTCGTAATCAGAGGACAACCAGCAGATGCCCTTCCAAAACTCTTCAAAGAGTGGGGAACTACAGTCCTTACTTTTGAAGAAGACCCGGAACCATTTGGGAAAGTGAGAGATCATAATATTACAGCGTTATGCAGAGAATTGGGGATAACTGTAAGTGTTATTCATGGATATTTATTGAAGGGCTCTTCTTTATCGGTGTTTTCTTAAATATTGGTTATGACATTTACAAAGCAATCTAATGCAGAGTATTCTAGAATACTGGCTGACACTGGAAGCCACAGCATTCTGGGAACGATCTCTGACATTATGCCTCCAACTATCAACTACTGACTGCCTTATACAGTACTTTTCCTGAGTAGAGAGGATTGGATCATCCGGGAGAAGGAAATTTAAAGAGCAAATAGAGAGATTGGTAGAATCCAATCTCACACACAAGTCAATAAAAATGTTCTCGAACAGTCAAGCGGCGTTAGGAGCTCTTGGCTCCTACCGAGCAACGTCTAAGTTGATAGCGAATTGCCAAAAACGACTCTCCTCAATAGGAAGACTTAACAAATTGTCTCTGGTCTGGATTCCTATCCACACTGGCTTGGAAGGCAATGATGCTGCTGACTTCCTTGCAAAGCAGGGTGCTGCAAGTAGCTTCATCAGATTAGAACCTGTCGTTGGCATTTGTTTGAGTTTTACCAAACAAACATTGAACACCTGGATGGCAAGAAGATTTAAAGACTTCTGGCAAAATATTCCAGGATTGGCTTATTCCAAAACGTGCATTCACCCTTCGAAGCTTAACACCATACAGATGTTGGACTACAGTCGGGATGAACTACGATGTTTAACAGGCCTCCTTGGAGGTCACTGTCATTTGGAAAATGATGAAACACAAGAGCATATAATTTGTGCCTGCCCTGCTGCGGACCGATTTAGATTTTCAGAGTTTGGTGGGACCACACTTCTACCATCTGACCTGAAAGATCACTCACCATTTAAACGAATCGGCTTCATCAAGAAGCACTCTATTTTGACTTAACCTAACCTTGATATCAGTCATCAATATTTCAAATCATTACATTGAAAACTTTCAGAATTTTTTTATTTTTCAATCACACATGTTGTTTCAGGACTGAACCCACCAGTATGGCAAGGTGGTGAAAGCGAAGCCCTAACCCGCTTGGAGAGACACCTTGAACGGAAGGCATGGGTAGCTTCATTTGGTCGTCCAAAAATGACGCCTCAATCATTACTGCCATCTCAAACAGGCCTGTCTCCATATCTGAGGTTTGGCTGTATATCTACAAGACTGTTTTATTACCAACTGACTGATCTCTATAAGAAAATCAAGAAGGCGTTCCCTCCGCTGTCCCTGCACGGGCAACTTCTATGGCGGGAGTTCTTTTATTGCGCTGCTACCAAAAACCCTAACTTTGATAAGATGCATGGAAATCCTATTTGCGTGCAGATACCATGGGACAAGAATGTTGAAGCTTTAGCGAAATGGGCGAATGTATGTATATGAAAATTGTTATATTCAGTGATGACACTGTTGTCAAAAGTAGATGAACAAAAGATTTCTATTTTTCTTGGGATTGATAGTTTCACTCTCCAATAACCCATATTGATGATATTTGACATATGAATGGAGTCTGCTTGGCATTTTTTTTTATTAATTCGATGGGTATATAACACTGAAATACAATGAAATATATCCTACTTTTATTAAAATAGTTTCATCTATATCATCAAATTCATTAATTTTGTAGTCATATTTAATATTCCGTAAATCATATCTCTACTTATACATAATATATAAACGTTGAAGAGCTTGACAGTCTCCAAACATGTGATTATGCATATGTAAATATTAGGTTGAATCGAAAGTTTTTGTCTGTTTTTATGAGTCTACCCTTAGCTGTAATATCTCAGTGAATTCTAATTCAATATAATCGAATAAGCGTCATCCGACGTAACCCAAGTCAATTATTTCGGTTAGCTTTAAAATTGGTCGTACTCGAGATTCGATGAAGTCGACGAAGGCCGTTTTTGCCTGGTCCTGATTGGCGAAGGTTCTACCGGTGAGAAAACGTTATTGAAGTGCCAGAAGAGGTGGTAGTCGATTGGCGGGAGGAATCGGGAGTATGAAGGGTGAGGTAGGTGATTGGTGGAACGTGCGGACGGACGTTGTCGTGGAACAGGATCGGACCCCTTAGTTGACTAGTGCCGGCTGCTGACGCAATTTTTGATAAATTTCGTCGATTTCTTCACAATAGGACTCTGCTGTGATAGTGTGGCCCGTTTGCTGAAAGTTATAGTACCATACAATAGTAACCATACAGTAACCATGGTCTTTTTTGGTGAGTTTTCACCTTTGGAAAGTGCCTGGATGGCTCATCGGTGTCCAACCACTGCCCTAAACGTCTCCTGTTGCCGTAGAGGATCCACTTTCCGTCACGTGACGATCCGGAATTATTCGACTCACACTTGTGTTACGTTGGCAGAAGTGCACTGATTCAAATGGCGCTTATTTCGATTAAATTGAGTGATGTATTACAGTTTAAAGTAGACTCGTGGAAACGTACAAAACTTTAGAAAACGACCTAATATTTCTATGTAAAATTTACAAAATGTTATATTCATTGTATATCAAGTAAATTGATTTGAAAACCACCCAGAAACGAAACTGTAAAGTCTCATTTTGGTAGAGATACTCTCTGAGGATGTGACAAGATTTTCTGAACAATCATTGTTACCATTGCATTCAAGGGCCAGACTGGATTTCCTTGGATAGATGCCATAATGACCCAACTAAGGCAAGAAGGATGGATCCATCACCTCGCCAGACATGCTGTAGCTTGTTTTCTCACACGTGGCGATCTTTGGATTTCCTGGGAAGAAGGAATGAAGGTACACAAATATACCATATTTAGTGTTGAATCCTCACTAATGATTTGTTTCAAGGTTTTTGAGGAGCTGTTACTGGACGCTGATTGGTCAGTTAATGCTGGAATGTGGATGTGGCTGTCTTGTTCCAGTTTTTTCCAACAGTTTTTTCATTGCTACTGTCCAGTGAAATTTGGTAGAAAAGCTGATCCAAATGGAGATTATATAAGGTAAAATTATATTAGTACAGGAGTATTTCAACTATTCCTCATTACCTTTTTCAGGAAATACCTCCCAATTCTGAATAATATGCCTCTCCAATACATCCATGAACCATGGTTAGCCCCTGATAGTGTTCAACAAGCAGCCAAATGCATCGTTGGGAAAAGTTATCCCCTTCCAATGGTTAATCACACAAATGCAAGTCGAATCAATATACAAAGAATGAAACAAGTCTATCAACAACTGGCAAACTACAAAGTGATGGAGACCGCTAGATATCCTGTCAACACAGGTTATAGTGAAACTTTTCAGAGACAACCAAGTGCTGTTACAGTTGGTAACCCCGATAATGGTCAGGCAGCATAAATATTTAAGTTATGTTTCATTTTGAATTGTGATAGTTCTTTGTGTCATTAAAAAAAAACGAATTCACTGTCAGATTATTTTGAATTCAATAAAAATGCTTGTTAATTAGGGGAATCCAAAAAGAGTTTTTGTGGATAAGGATGACACTCAAAATTATCCTTTCAGGCATACTGATTCTATTCTATGTTCAATTATTGCGATATTGTCAAGCCTTAGGCGGAAGATCTCTGAAATTGATCAAGGATCTTTTTCTTCTTGTCAGAGGTTTCAATCTTCCATGTTATTTGTGAACTTATTAGTGGTGAAGACTTATTAGAAATGATACACACAAAAAAAATTGAGCAAAATATATTAAGTTGACTATTACACCAGCACAGTTGAGTTAGATAGTATTAAAACACCTTTCCATTCAATACCGACAAGTATCCTAAGTAAACTACTATGTTAATATAACATTTCTACACCATTTTTTCAGGTGATGATAACTAGAATAGTTCTGCTTTATTATTGCACAAAATTCACAATTACAAATACTAATGTAAAATAGGTAATGATATTTCAATGAAATATTGACTAAGCTAACCTATTTTATTCAGTCAAAATGGCTTTCTTGAAATTTCTGAGATCGGATTTACATAAAATCATCTTCAAAGTCTATTGTTCTAGAAACATGTCAAATCCCTTAGAAGGATTTATTAAAAAATCCATATTTTAATATTTCAATGTATGTAAAATAAGAGATAAAATAGAGATGCACTCTGCCTCCAATAATATTGAATAATTCATCATCTCTCCAATCATGTCTTTCTTTTTCACTCACTGATTGAGATTTGCATATTTCTTCAAAAAATAATTCAAACAATATTTTTTTTTCGAACACAAAGACGTAAGGCACAGCTTTGGGAAAAAATCTTGTAGTCTCCATCAATATATAGAAAGTGGGGAAGTTCCAAAGTAAGGCAGAAAAAATTAGGTACATTGAGTTATTTTCTGATACTAACTTTCTCTCATTTAGTTTTCACTCCAAATATTCTTAATGGAATTGAAACAGAATCATACAGAGGAACCGTAAAAAACGTACTATGTGAAAGAGTATTGATATAAAATATCACTTGAACAGTAAACTTCCAATCTCCTAGTGGACTTCTGAAACTTTCAAGTTGCGGCACCAGTGTTCAATTCCTCATCAGAATATTTTCGGATAGCAGTAAGACTTTCATTCATTCCTTGCAAAAACGTTTCAACTTTGAGACACATCTGCTTCGCCACTGTGACAGTTTGTGAAAGAAACATTCATACAACTAGTTGAACTAATCCCAGCCATAGGAATAATTTTGTTTATTTGAAAAGATGATATTTTCATGAGATTAATTTTTGGTTAAACAAAACTTTTGGCTCTCTATTTCTCCGTCAATATATAGAAACGGAAACTTGTAAAGAAAGAAAAAACAAATATGTTTGAAAAAAAAATGTTTCAAAAATATTTTTCCGTTAACCAGCTATCGCACCCCTACGAACGACAACCCTCAGAAGTCGAAACTTGTGCGAGCTGAGGACTAACGAGGTCTTACTTTTTAACGTGTGATTCCTAACACATCAATAAAAAGTATTCACTAAAATGTGTAAATCATGCATACAATTTTCTTTTGAATACAAACTGGGAAATCTGAAACAACCAAAGTTTTCCATGGAATTTCATTTCAATAATCTTTCATGTATCACGTTGTGTAGCGTTACTGTATCTTATATCTGTTTCAATTTGATTAGGAATGTTTGGAGAACAGTGGGAAAGTGAAAGTGACATATTTGGAAATAGTTTTTTCAGTTAATTCTATTCTTCCAGTGCATGCTTGAAAGAAAATTATCAACATACCTTTGTATAATGTTTATTGATGTAATTAACTTTTTTCTTCTTTTGAAGAAATAATAACATTCTTATAAAAATAGGAGCAAATTTACTATTTGAAGAAATAATAACCTTCTTGTTAAAAATAGCAAATTTACTATGTGGTAGGGGGATTTTGGATTTTGGACGAAGGAGATTCATGATATTACTATCAAGATATTTCTGACAAAATATCAATGAATTACTAAGGTACAATTGAAAGTGTCTTTATAAGCCTTTTGAGCAGGTGGCTGCTTGAGATATTGCAGAACTGGTTAATTTGTTGAAGATATGAGAAAATTAAAACCATGTATTTTGGATGATACTTTCTCAATTTCCATCGATTGTAATTGATTGTATCGCAAAAAAATTGTTTTGGAGCACATTCATTTCTTTTGAGTTAGCTACTCTTCATGTGACAATTCAAAAATTGTGTACAGTCGCAAAAAATAAACTTGCAAACAAAAAATTAGCAATATCGGCAGAAACGAATTTGGAAGATATTTTGAATTTTAAAATAAAAATATGTATATGAAACATAAAAATCATAAATTGTCAATAGTCTAAAGGATATAAAATATGTTTGTGTTATTAAAAAGGTGAGTACAGCTCAGAAAAGGAAATATAGGTACATGAAAAGTTTGTAAGAAATATATAAACAAAATAATTGAAATAACTCAATATAACTAACTCATTACCATCACGTGGGTCAAGTTCCTTTGAAGAAATATATAAACTATTCGCCGCTATAAATTACATTTTCTTTCTTAGTGGTTTAGAAAATCTAACAGGGTTTAATTTCTTTAATTCTTCGAATTGTAATATTCAACAGACAAAAATCTAAAAGTGTTGAGATTCTTGGATGAGTGAAAGTATGGCAAAAAGTGCATCAGTAGATTAATTTGTTGGTCAATTTATTTTTTTTGTACCTAGGGAGCTGTCTGACTTGTCCACTTAGTCCAAGTCTCCAGAAAACACTGCAGCCTCTTGGGCTTATTGCGTTTATTCTCCCATCTTCTCATGTACAGCCCCATTTTATTCAGGTGTCCTCTAAACGGACAATGACCAGTTAGTAACCCTGTAATTATTTGGAGCCGATCCCTACTATATTGAATTAGTTCTTCGGTTCTTTTCTCGGACGGTTCCCTAATGAAGGTTCTACTGTGTTTGTTTCCAGGTACTTTTGTCCAGTACTCTGTGTACTTCTTATTGGTCCATGTCCTAATCTGGTTTCGTACCAATGATTTTGGTACCCCCAGAGCTGGTTCAGGACCTATATATGAAGTTGATGATCCGCGTCTAGCGCGGCATTCCCAGACCAATTTTGATGTCACCTTCGGGTTTGTCATAGCCCTTAGTGTGCTCTTGTTGTCTGTAAAAATATTGATCCGCTCATTTCTTTGACGTCTCAATTTAATAAGCCTTGCACACTGCGAGATAGCCTGAAAGACGGATGTGTATAATCCTAGCGGATTGTTGTAGTTTAGATTTCTATCCGCTCGGCATATTCCAGCTCCCGTTCCATGTTTGTTAGTCAGTTAATATACTATATTTTCAAATAGTGGACAATCTTCATTGAATTTTGATTTTTTATTACATTTATTATCTTTTTTGCATTGTGAGAACTTTATCAATATGTGCAGATTCATCCCACAGGCGTCTTCTTTTTTTTAACGAAATACAAATTAATAAACAAAATTAATAGTGGTGGCATTAAACCAGGTTGCTTTCATACAATCACGACTTGGTTTGAAAAAAAAGGATGCTATGCCACGAGAACACTTTTATTCACAATACCCTTGACATTCCTCGAAAGAGACAAACAGCTAGCTGATTTATTGTTGAGACTGATACGAGCCTCCTATATCAGCTTGATATCTAATATTACTCTTAAACATTTTGCAATATCAAGCTGTGATTCCTGAGCACTTTCCATTTTGATATTTTCAAACTGATCAAGAGTATTCCATTGAGGTGAACAATGTGATATCACCAACATCTTCGACATATTTTGATAAGTATTGTGTAATATCATTAACATAAATGATAAACTGTATAGGACTTAGGATTAATCCCTGGGGAACCCCCCACTTTCATCCTGGACGATACATTTCCCTTCAACACACTAGGTAACTTTGAACAAATGCAAAAGTATTTCCTGTGATACTGTAACTATTCGATTTTTTAGACGAATTTTACACGACATATTAATGGAAAATGAATCATCTGAAAACAGCTCAAACAGCTAGGTTAGGTTAGGTCAAAAGTGAGTGGACCCATTCGACCCTCCACCGCAACCCGCAAGAGTTTATTGTGGCTCACACCTATTCAAACTCGAATAAATAAACCCAGCATCTTGACGAAGCCGATTAATTTTCATGGTGAGTGGTCTTTCAGGTCAGATGACTCTGCCAAACCCTGAAAACCTGATTCGGTCCACTGCGGGGCAGGCACAAAGTATATGCTCTGCATAATTTTCCAAACAGAGGCGACACACACTTTCTTCTGACAGTCCGAGTCTCTGCATATGATGATTCAGACGACAGGAGGCCTGTTAGACATCGTAGTTCGTCCCTACTGTAGTCCAACAACTGTTTTGTTTCAAGCTTTAGAGGGTGAATGAACGCTTTGGAGTGAGCCAATCCTGGAAGATTTTGCCAGATGTCTTTAAATCTTCTTGCCATCCAGGTGAAGTTACTTGCATCACTCTCCTTTGCAAGGGACTCAGCAGCCTCATTGCCGTTGAAGCCAGTGTGACCAGGAATCCGGAACAGAGGTTAAGTCTTGCTATTGAGGAGAGTCGTTTTTGGCAATTTGCTACCAACTTAGTCGTTGCTCAAACAGCTAACTAAATTAATAAAAAGTGGTCACTACCGTTATCAACGACATATGACAGTCATCTCTAATGTTAAGTACAAGTAGCCAACTCGATTAAAAATAAATGTGCTCTGAGTGGTAGTCTGGCCAGTTCACGATTGGAAGGTCGTGAATTCGATCCCCACCTTTACCAGATATTTCCCTTGAAAGACCTTATCTAGTTCAAGTTGGGTGATTCTGTATCGTTACATGGCTTCATAGACTGCGAATAGCCTTGATGCTTCCTAAGTGGCCCAGGGAATTATTAACATTGACAACCGAGAACAAGGCTAATGACCATAAAAGTCGATGCCGCTGAAATCCAAAAAGACGCTCTAAACCAAATTCTTTTCTGCTATGGTTGGTTAATATGAGAACTGATACTAATAATGAACACAAAGTAGCCTATTCAGAGAAAAGTAATGTGTTCCAAATTAAATCCTTATCTAATATGGACAAATGTATCAGCCTCTCATGTAATAATCTGTTTTTTCTGAGATACCACTTTCTCTATAGTGAAAGAATATTAATTTTGATTATTGGTATCATATGTGATGGAATCGGTGTAAACTTGATGAAAAATCTATAAAATATTCAAGAAAAGACACGTCTTAAGAAGCTATTGTATAGCGAAACACGTGTTGCGTTTTTGTAAAACCGTTTAGTAAAAATCTGACAGTGAAGTGTTTCCTGAATATGTTTGTATCATCTTTCCTTAACTGTAAATGGTTGACCAAGAATCAAATTTTATTTTCTACCAGTCTACCCTTCACCACTCTACCCTCCAAACCCTGGACAAATCATCTCTAACCAAGCTACTCAAATAATTAGAATCAACGTGAAATGAGTCTACTTTACATTTGGATCTTACAATCAGTAATCAACATATCAACTTAAAGAGTATATAACAGGAATATATTGTATAAAAATAATGGCACATCAATTATATTTCTAATTCGATGCTTCATGGACGGACATAAAACTTACACATCTAATTAATATTTAATTATCAATATGGCACGTTAGAAAGGTTCCCTATCCAGTTCGCTTGATTTGTTTTCTGAATTCTCCACTAGAAATGGTTTGTTTTCTGAAAAAGAACAAAAAATTTTCGGCTTTGAATCATGAAAATAGTACAAATCGAATGAGATTTCCTTGAATGATTCATACCGGTTTCATTATTTCATTTACAAGAGATAGCGCATATATTTTATTTGTTCATATATGATTTTTATTTGATTTCTTACAAATAAATTATATCCGCATATTATATTATTTGGGCCACATCCTGAATTAAACATGAAATTACATGTCTCACTAAGGCTCCAATGGTTATTAATAGCATTACATTTATTTGCATTATTAGAAAGTTTAACCCCTTCAATAGTTGAAAAGGCCAAAGCAATGTTTTTAAAACATAAATTTTGTTCAAAGTTATAATTTTTTTCTAGTAGTGGAATTGAATTTTCACATACAAATCCTAAATATTTTTTTTTATTTTCACATTTTTGTTTAATGGCCGAATTTAATGATTTTTTCCTAACTCAACTCTCAACTGGTTCGATTATTTCTGTTCTTGTTATAGCTTGTACAGTCTGTAGAAACTGATTATCCTCGAAACCTCCAGATATACCGGGTGTTTGGTAGCTGGGTGCAAACCTTTAAGGTTTTTAGCCCATGTAGAACATATTTATACAAACATTTTTATTTTCGAGCGCGTTTTTGATTTTTAAGGGAACTTTTACGATTTTTAGTACAAAAACCCAAAATTGGTCAATTAAATGCTAATAACTTCGAATCTTAACAGAAATGTCCGGTTTTTTAAATTTATTTTAGTAGTCTTATGTGTCCCCAATCGTACTAAAGTAGTTTGAAGCACCATTGTGTCCAAAAAAGTTATGTA